GATCTCAACGCATATCACAAAAGTGTGGCTCTCATCTATTTGAATTTCCAGAAACCAGAATAAAAAAATTAGGTCCTAGGAAGGGATAGTATAGCACTGATTAGGGATTCACTCAACTGATTTTTATCCACCAGTGAATATCTGATCATTAGAAAATAAATTCATTTCAGAAATGTACAACATAAAAGAAAAAGAAAAACAGCACTGAGAAGAATCTTAGTATCTGTTCAATGCACTTATTTTTTAGTTGAGGAGTGTAAAGCTCAGAGGGGAAAACTAGCTTGAAGTCATAAGCTAGTTATAGACAGTTATAGACAAAAGCTACTTATAGAGTCAGGCCTCCTAATTCAAGGCTCAATATGCTTTGCTCTCAACAATAGTACAATCAATCACTTAAGGTCTGTAGAGTAGGAACTTCAAATCTTATACATCTTTTGTACATATTTCTATTCACTGAGTGTTTATTTCTGCAGCCTGAGGTTACAAATATAATAATACCAGGCAGGTGTATAAGGCTGCTGGGTAAGAGCCTCAAAGCACTCCTGAGGCTCCCACACTCTCAACACTGAGGTCACCTAACTCCATCTGCACTCTTGACCATGCCCAGGCAGGACAGGACTGATGAAGAGAAAATTAATTTGTAAACTGCTGGTTTGCTAAATGAATTAAGCAAAAATTAGGAAATGCAAGTGGGTCTTGGTCTTTACACTAATACTCAATTTTGTTACACGTATTGTTTCTTCATTCAGCCACTATTTCCAGAGCACCTCCAAGGTTCCAGACATAGCAGAGACAAGAGTAAGCAAGAGAGGCCCAGTCCCTGACCTTATGGGATTTATAATCAAATAGCACAAGCCAAAAATTAACAGATAAACAGATGACAAAATAATTTCAGTGTACTGTAAGTGCTATTGAAGAAGTTGAACTGGATGATCACAATGGTGAAATTCTATTTTTGGAAAGGTGGCCTTTTAAAAAATATTTCATTTATTTATTAAAAAAAATTTTTTTTGGCCATGTCACAGTTTGCAGGATCTTAGTTACCCAACCAGGGATCAAACCCTCAGCAATGGAAACATGTTACTGTAACCACTGGACTACCAGGGAATTCCCAAGAGGTGATCTTTTTGAACAATTAACACAGGATCTATCAGCTGTGTGATGAGAGTCAGCCTGGCGAGAAGCAGGGAGAACAGTGTTTCAGGAAAGGGGAAAAGCTAAGTAAGAGGCGCTGGTGTGTGGACACATTTGGGGTTTGAAATATTTTCTCCCAAAGATAATGTAAAGATGAACACTTTTTAAGAAACAAATCTGTATTCTACACAATTTTATTATCTTATTATATACAGATGGGACAAACTTCTGCATTAGGAAAGCACAGTGATTCTAAATCATGTATAATTTACTTATTTTCAAATGCATGTAGAAAATAAGTCTCAGGTAAGTGCTTCAATATGACTCTGTTTACAAGAAAAAAAAAATAGTACAGTACTTTGACCAACTGGAATTCAGAACTGCATTCCCTTTAATTCTGAATGGCTTTACATATCATCTGGTTTACTTTGTCCAGCAGGCAAAAGTTCCAAAGGACTAAGGTTGAAATCACTCACTACTACTGAATTACTACTACTCACTACAAATGACAAAATGTTCATTAAATTATGTGATACATTTTTGGGGGGGTATTAGTACAATCTATTTTCCTAGCACAAGTGTCATATTTGTTGTATGTAGAAAGCACATATAATGGTTAATAATTTGCCATTGGTTAATAATAGTACTGATATATAAATATAAACACATGATGATCAATAATTTATTGGAAGATTAGGCAGTTCTATAAGGTAAAATATCTATGTAAATAAATATAAAGACCCAGGGCCACCTAAAATTGAAAGATACGGATCAAGCATCTGAATTCCAGTTTTGTGAGCAGGAAAGGAGATCAGTCCTGGGTGTTCATTGGAAGGACTGATGCTGAAGCTGAAACTCCAATACTTTGGCCACCTGATGCGAAGAGCTGACTCACTGGAAAAGACCCTGATGCTGGGAGGGATTGGGGGCAGGAGGAGAAGGGGATGACAGAGGATGAGATGGCTGGATGGAATCACCAACTCGATGGACATGAGTTTGAGTAAACTCCAGGAGTTGGTGATGGACAGGGAGGCCTGGCGTGCTGCGATTTATGGGGTTGCAAAGAGTCGGACACTGAACTGAACTGACAGAGACTGAACTGAACTGAACTGAACCCTCAATACAGTAAAGCTTGGGCAAATTTCTAACCCTCTCTGAATTTCATGTCTCTCTCAAAAGTGTAGGTTAGGATAACTTCCTAGGTTTATGAGACAATGAAATACGAATTTCTAAGGGTCTGGCACACACAATAAACTCAGTAAATTTTAGTGTTTGCCCCCCCCCATATATTTTCTCTAATAAAAATAGCATTAAAAATACAAGAATTATGCTCAGATTCCTTCTGTCTCTTTTAATCAAAATATGATGGTATTTTTCACATGAGAGAAAAAGGTAGGACAAAGGAACCGCTGCTATAGCTCTTGACACATCAAACCCTGAATTAAGACCCCGTGTTTCTAATTGTTCTGCTGCCTGGGACTGTCCCATTTTGACTGTCTAGCTGCTCCACAGCTTCCACTGTACTGCCTTCATCTGAGACCCAGACACGTGCCCAAGCGCAGTAAATCACAGTTAATTGCATGTCTTAAATTAAAAGACAAAAATGATGCACAATTAATTGGAGGAAATTGTCATTTGGTGAATGAGTCTCGCTCATTACACTTTGTGCACAGGATGCATGCCAAGTCTGTGTTCCAGGCAAGAAGATTCCGTCTGTGACACTGAGGTTCAACCTTTGTGCTGAGCAGTCTGCTCAAACACTTTAAAACACTCAGCGCTGCAGCTGGAGTATAGACAGCTTGCTCTGCAAGGACATTCAACACAGAGGCTGCACATAACCATGACAATTAGAAGGAACCAAAATGTTCAGCGATGACGGACTGAATAAAAAGACTACCTCTTGGCCATTAAGGGAAAAATCTACATTGTAACAAACGATTTTTTTCATATTGAATAAGATGAGAAAATGTCCATGTCATGTTCCTCAATGAAAACTGCTTACAAAACAGTGTGGGTTTCTTCTTTTGAGGATTACATAATAAATAGAAGAAGAAAAAGAAAGAATGAGGAGAAAGTGGGAAAATAAACAATAAAAATGTTAACATTTGTAATCTCAGAGTTGTTCATACTCTAGATTTTTCTCCTTTTCTAAAAAATTTTCTAAGTTGTTTAAAATTCCATTTCAATTTATTTCTGAACCTATTACAAAATGTCAGTTTTAAAGATTCATAAGAATCCTTTAACATGAACTTACCCATTATAATAAAAAAGTCACCATAAAATTAAAAAATAATACCTAGTAAGCACTTAGATACAAGCCCATTATTCCCTTGGTTATACAGACAAAATAAAGTTAATAAAAATGCATTCTATAAATATACAAGAAAACCATGTTCAGCAAAATTAAATGTTCAGTACAATAAATTATGCAAACATATACCTTATAGTATATATTAAGATAACAGAAGAAAATCACTATGAATCCTTATTAATACTAATATCAACAAACTAAAAAAAATGTTCACGGAGAACATAATAACCTTGAATTTGAGGAACTGCAAATCTTCTCTCTTCCATACCTCCTCTCTCATCATTTTCTACCCTGAACTGAAACACTTTACATCTAGCCACCTAGTATTATTCTGATGCTAAAACTTGACAACAAACAACTTTCTAGCTCACACACACACACACACACACACACACACACACACACACACACAGAGTTTCATAATTTTCACCAAATAAGATGAGAACAAATAATGTTCTGCAATATATCACCAATGATGTTAACTTTTGTTTCAATTTTAGAAGAAAAGAATATACAAAACGCAAGAGTAGATTCATTCCAAAGGTACTGAACAGTCTCCTAACCTTGAAATAAGCAATAAATATTTCCTGCTCTTTTATTTCTCGGGGGGTTGATGGAGTGGGAAAAGATAATCATATTCTGGCAAAGCCTGTATCTCAATCTCAGGCGTCCTTACATCCCAAGGGTAATATTTCCATTCCACTCTTAATGGAACAAATTTCTAATCAGAATATGTATCCAAAAATAATCGAGGCAATGCAATGTCAACAGATCACGCTGCCATCAGCATTCCTGATGCTGGGAATGAACCCTGCACATCGGTGTGACAGAGAATGTGGGCAGTGCAGACACATCAGACCACACGGAGGACACAGCGGTTCTGCTCCCCTTCGGTGCTCAAGTCAGCGCTGGAGGACAGCTTCCAAGCTGGAAGGGCCCATCTCAAACCCTGCCAGGGAGGGATGACTGACAGTGGGGCCAGGCCAGGACCTCCACTGTGGAATTGGCATCAGTGTCCTCCTTTATAAACTTACTGAGCATCTTTGAAACAACAGTCATTTTTGGAAAGGTTAACAATGCCCTTAGATTTTTGACAACAAACACTACGGAATGTATTTTATGATGCTCTGAAACTGTCCAGAGGTTTAAAATTCAGGTTTGAGAATATATTGGTAATTGTTGAAGCTGGGTCACGAGCAAGGGAGACACCTTAACGTATCCTACTTTAGAATGCATTTGACATTTTCCTAATAGAAAATGAAAAAAAAAAAGATTTCTTTCAAAGTATTTTATATTCAAAATTATACTGACTCCAACTTTGGAAATATATGAAACCTGATTTGTGCTTATTTAAGACTTTAATAAGCAATGTGGACTTTTAAAAAAATCCACCAAGCATGATGTTAATCATAAAAAAAAAATTTCTTCACTCCTGAAGAAACGTTACCAGGATCTATAACGATAGAAGAAGTGCACCTAAACAAATGCAGCGCCACCATATGCCTGGCATTCTCACAGTGTCACAAAATAGACTGGTAATTAACTGCTTTCCTACCGAAATCTGCCAGCTTTAACTCCCCCGTGTCACTGATCAGAAGGTTCTGTGGTTTCAGGTCTCTGTGCAAAATATAGCGCTGGTGGATGTAAGACAGCCCTCGCAGCAACTGAAATAAAAACAGCTGGAAAAACAGGGAGAGAAAAGTTAAAATCTGAACACAGTCCAATGCCACTTTCCACATACAGTCTGCCAAGTACTTGTATTTCTTGAAAATGGGTACCCATCACTAAATTCCCGATCAAACCATTTAAACAGAATTTGCATACATGTATGGAAATTCCTAATGCATAAAGTAAATCTGAAAATTTTTAACAACCTATTATGTCAACCCAGAGTTCCTTAGCCAGAAAGATCTACAATCCATCTTCGTTCTAGAAATTAAGTGAAATGTAAAGAATCATTTTCTAAGTAATATGTGATTTCCTCAGGTCTAAACTGATGCTTGAGACAGAGGAAAAAAACCCTATTCAGAATGTTATAAAAGGAAGCAGAATTTTTTATGTAAATTTAATTTACATGTATTTAATTCCATGGAAATGATATAAACATGGTATCCAGTGATTCACTCAATAACATGCTTTAAGGAATAGAAAGATAAGATGATCTGAAATAATTAAAACAGAAACAGTCACGTGGTTCAATTATTACTACACTGTAATTACACTGCTGTGGCACATATGGCCACAGAGATTAGGTTGTTGCCTAAAGACAGACGTGTACCTTCACTAATTACAGAACAGACCCAACCTAAAGGGAAAGGAAACACAGAGAACAGAGAAATCAAGAATGCAAGAGCAATAGTTTCATAAGAAATACATTAAGAAGCAACCAATGGTCTTCTCTGTTTATATTCATATTGGATCATAATAAATATTTCCGTTTTGATAACAAAAAATGTAATCCACTAGGCTTTCCAATACTCTGTTTATTAAAAAAAAAAGGACTATCTTTAAACTATTTACTTGCCAAAATAATCCTAATTAACATAGTTTTTAAAAAACAATCTCCTAAAACAAAACTAAAAACAAGTGGTTTTAAGTGCCATCAATATTGTAGTCTATGTAATCAGCTGGCAACAAAACGCACTTTCTGAGAAATTTTAAAGGAATTAACTGCCAAATACTGGTAGGATAGGGCTTCCCAGGTGGCAATAGGTGGTAAAGAACCCACCTGCCAATGCAGGAAACATAAGAGACACGGGTTCGATCCCTGGTTTGGGAAGATTCCCTGGAGAAGGGAATGGCAACCCACTCCACTATTCTTGACAGGAGAATCCCATGGATAGAGGAGCCTGGCTAACTATAGTCCATAGTGTTGCAAAGAGTCAGATATGATTGAAGCAACTTAGCATGCATACTGATAGGATAAGGATTCTAGAATCTCCACATAAAAAAGACTGGTAACTCCTCAAGGGCCGTGGGAGCTAACATTTCAGAATATTTTCCAACTAACTAGGGGCTCTGAAAGCGAAGTAAAATTTTTAGAGGGGGGATACCTTGAAATACTTACTCAGTTGCTAAGTCATGCAGACTCTTTGCCACCACATGGACTGCAGCACACCAGGCTTCCCTGTCCTAGGCTATCTTTCAGTGTTTGCCCAGATTCATGTCCACTGAGTCGGTGATGCCATCCAACCATCTCATCCTCTGTCGTCCCCTTCTCCTCCCGCCCTCAATCTTTCCCAGCATGAAAGACAGTAGATAAATTCATTTCAAAATCTTTGTATGTGATAATAAGCTATGGTGTTGGGAAGGCCTAGATTCATTATTTCCAGAACCTAAGTACCAGAAACTAAACACCTGCTCTGTGTTAGGCTGGATTAAATTACTGGCTCAAGAATCTCAGGAAGTAATCCTCTCCTGGACTCCCCCTTTCAGTCCTTCCTGTGTAGCAGATGGAGAGACTTAACGCCATCATCAGCAGCTTCCAGCCTCATTCCTCACTTCTAAAACCCCCTGCATCCCGAAGCGGAAAAGCTTACAATTTCAAAGAAAATCCAAATCCCTTCAGTTCAGAAGGGAGAAAGGATGAGCAAATAAAGCCACTTTGTGTTTTCAAAAGCTTTTCATCAGTCAGTCACATAGGCAGATCACAAAACAAATAAACTGAATTTCAAAAATAAACTGATTTGGAAAGTCTGCATTTGGAAAGTCTGCCTTCTGCAAGGTGCTAGCTGGGACTTCCCAGACTGTGATTATCTACCTAACCACAGCAACACATTTTAGTTGAACAAGCAAATTACATGAAGTGCCAGCTGCTATTCTATGCATCAGAGAATATGAATTCATTTGATCTCTGTAAAGAAATTTTTTAAAAAGATTTTTTGATGTGGACCATCTTTTCTTTAAAGTCTTTATTGAATTTGTTACAACACTGCTTGTTTTATGCTTTGGTTTTTTTGACCCCAAGGCATGTGGGAATTCCCTGACAAGGGATTGAATCCACACCGTGTTGGAAGGCGAATTATAACCACTGGACCACCAGGGTAGTCCCTGACCTCTGTAACAATTTTAATGGTGATGGTACCACTATTCTGGGCTTCCCTGGCGGCTCAGCTGGTGAAGACTCTGCTGCAACGCAGGAGATGCAAGAAATGAGGATTCGATCCCTGGGTTGGGAAGACCCCAGGGAAAAGAAAATGGCAACCCTCTCCAGTATTCTTGCCTGGAAAAGTCCATGGACAGAGGAGTCTGGCGGGCTCCTATATAGTCCATGGGGTCACAAGGAGTCGGACACAACTGAGTATACAAGTCCGTGCGCGCGCGCGCGCACACACACACACACACGCACACACATCACAACCTATCTGTATCAGTGATGAGGAAACTGGAATCACTTTAAGGTCCAGGACTCAAATCCAAGAAATTTGACTCCAAAATCCACTCCCTTAACCACTCTACTCTAGGAATCTTGGCCAGAACACAAGTAGGCAGTTTCCACATAGAAGCTGCTTCCTCCAATTGACAGGAAAAAGTACAGGCCTTCGAGGCCACTGTGCTGAGCCCTGGTTCCGGCTGGGTGCCCAGGCATCATTGCTCCACATTTCCCGACCACAAGCAAGCTCATGAATCCGCCCCCCCCACTCAAAGCATACTGCTCTTCAACCCTTTTCCTTCATTCTTAACTCTTCTCTCACAGAAAAGCCTTGTCTCACTTTTGCCTGCTAATCTCCTTGTATTTCTTAGGTCTCTCCTCAAACACCACTCCTCCCTGGTGCCTTTCCAGACCCCAGGGCTTCAGTCTCCCTACAGGTCTGTGTGAGGGGTTCCTCCTCTGTGCTCGTGGGGCAGCTGCTTCATCTGTCTATCACAGGATGGGATTCCCCTGTCTCCCCAGAATGTGTTTTGTAGTTCAGTCACTCAGTCATGTCCAACTCTTTGTGACCCCATGGACTGCAGCATGCCAGGCTTCCCGGTCCTTCACTAGCTCCTGGAGTTTGCTCAAACTCATGTCACTGAGCTGGTTATGCCAGCTCATCCTCGGTCACCCCCTTCTCCTGTCCTCTATCTTTCCCAGCATCAGGGTCTTTCACAATCAGTCAGCTGTTCACATCAGGTGGCTACAGTATTGGAGCTTCAGCTTCAGCATCAGTCCTTCCAATGAATATTCAGGACTGATCTCCTTTAGGGTGGACTGGTTGGATCTCCTTGCAGTCCAAGGGACTCTCAAGAGTCTTCTCCAACACCACAGTTCAAAAGCATCAACTCTTCGGCGCTCAGTCTTCTTTATGGCCCAACTCTCACATACATACACGATTACAGGAGAAACCATAGCTTTGACTATACGGACCTTTGTCGGCAAAGTGATGTCTCGTTTTTAATATGCTGTCTAGGTTCGTCATAGCTTTTATTCCAAAGAGCAAGCATCTTTTAATTTCAGATTGTTTGCCTCAACCATCTTCCTAATCTCCTCCCACAGCTGACACTCATTACTAAGTAATGTGATGACTGAACAGGATTTAGGGATATCTGGATGAAGCAGATACAAAAAAGAACAGACTCCTGGAATGGGAGTTCCTAGAAACTAAGAGTAGAAGTGGGAAGACCAGAAGTGGGAAGAGCCAAAGGGCTCTGCTTTTAACACCTTTACTAATTAGTGGAAATACATAATCCTCATGTTAATCCAGAAGCTATTCAAATAGGATAGCATATTAAAGAGGATTAAGAAAATCAGTGCTAGGTAAAGATGCAACCACTCACTCAACTACAATTGTATACATGACAAGCTAAGCCCCACATAAGACAGACGGAACCCCGAGCATCAAATGGGAGCCCCAGACAAATTTTTAGATCTTTGAACAATGCACAAAGTTAAGTCAGAACAAATCCCCAGATAATAAATTCCTTCAGGATTTACTAAGTGCCAACCATCTGCCAGGTGCTACCATGTAAGAGGGATGCAAAGATGAACAGGATGTAAGATGTAGTTCCGTGACTTGGGTATGAGAGACACATCAACAGATGCGTGCATCCGTGCTAAGTCGCTTCAGTCATGTCTGACCTGGGAGGCCCTATGGACCGCAGCCCTCCAGGCTCCTCTGTCCATGAGATTCTCCAGGCCGGAATACTGGAGGGGGTTGCCACGCCCTCCTCCAGGGGATCTTCCCGACTCAGGGACTGAACCCGCGTCTCTTACACCTCCTGCACCGGCAGTCAGTTCTTTACCACTAGCCCCACCTGGGAAGCACATAAACAGATGAACTGCATTTAAAGAGGTCTTCTTAGCAGCAGCGGCACTGTGACAGCGACACAGACGGAGTGAAATGGAAGGCGCAGAGGAGGGAGGAAACCTCATTACGCATCAACCTTTAGTAGGAAAAGGAGATTTCATTAGATGCACGAGATGAGACCATGTATTATATGACAAACCTCTTGCTTTTCTGAGGGAAAAAACTGAGGAAACCAAGCAAGGAAATCACTGGGCAGATAAATTAATAAGAGGAAAAATTTTAATTAATGAAAAGAAGACAATATATGAAACTGTAAAATGATCAACACACCATCATAATAATAATGGTGGCGAAGGGACACTATAATTCACTGAAACCATTAGTAAGGGCTTCCCTGGTACCTCAGTAGGTAAAAATTCCACCTGCAATGCAGAAGACCCTGGTTCGATTCC